CGAAGACTTTAAGATTTGAGTTCTGATTTTTTATAGGCCTATGATGCATAGACATGGACATAAAGATACGGATACGGTAAGATACAGATACGTCAATTATTGAAAATATAGAATACAGACACGGGTTGGACACAACATTATAATTTTTATATTTTAAAAATAGTGTATAAAAATTGAAAAATATAATACATACATGAGTTGGACACGTTCGTCCGCCATCCATTCAAGATCATAAACACATATTTGGTGTTTGGCAAAATCTTCAATATATTGTGTTATCTTTGTATTTGAGTTTGGAAACATACCAATCTCTGCATTTCATTTAAACAATAGTACTGAAATCATTTTAACTGGGTGAGGCCCCATGGACCGTAGTTTTTCCCTTTTAGGTTTTTCCATGAAAAAAAATCCGGCGTCCCCATGCTTGTGTGCAGAATTTTCGTGCATAGCTGAGACGTAAAATCTTTGCACTCTAACGTCCCGAATTTCTCAGCTCGCAACAATTATAATAATTTAGTAAACTAAAATATATTTTTTTCTTTTAATTTGAAGAATTCAATCATAAACTTATGAACAACTAGAAAAACACTATTAAACTAAACATTTCAAAGATCTCCATAGATTTTCTGATCTCCGCAGTTTGAACGAGCGGAGCAGAAAATCCTGAAACGCTTCTGGAAGGACAAACAAAGTGAAAGCTGGAAGTCAAAAGCTATATTTCTACAGCCGTTTGTTTCTGCGTTTGATTATTTTTTAATATGCAGAAGAGTAGTTGAACATCAAAAGCTTATCAAATAAGATAATTAACGTGGTACGTCAAGAGAAATATTTGAATATTGCATGTATGTACGTACTAATAAATTTGAGTACGTCATACCATACGTCAATTATCTTTAACATTTGACTACTGCTTCTTAAAAAAAAAAATAAAAAATAAAAAATTGTGGCAAGTGTGTGATTTTCTAGTTTTAGAGTTATATAAAGTTTTTATAGATAAAAAAATTTAAATATTTATAAGAAAATTATATATATATGGTTTTAGACTAGAAAATATTTTAAAAATAAAATTTGGACGATTCTGAATTTAATTATAAAAAGTTTTAATTCAAATTTTTGGATAAAAAATTATTATTAATATGATGAAATTTTTTATGAATTATTATTTTATATATAATAGTTTCTCCTTCAACTACTGCCTAATTCCACCGCTGTTTTTATCCAATTGCGAGCAATTATTATTATTATTATTATTTCTTCTTAACTTAGAAGAGATATTATTATATATTTTTATTATATAAATTAGCGATTGTCACATTGCATATTTGTCAATGGATGACAACAGCCAGTTCATTTGGACTTTCAATTAAATATATTTAACCGATTGATAATTCATTTTTTATTTATTTTGAATAAAAAATAGTATTTTTGAGACATTTTTAAGAATATTTGAGAAATTTAAAATGAATTTCATAAATTTAATTTAGGACATAAAACAAGTAAAAACATTGAATTAAAAACTTAAATGATTAATTATTTATTTGCATCCAATCAAATTGATCAGTTTTGATTGCAAAACAATTAGTTTTATTTATGAGATTAACCAGCATAGTTCGGCCCAATAAAATCGGCCACAAAATTAATAAAAATTAAGCATTTTGGGCGGGTTTGACTAAACATATTGATTTGTCAACGGTTAATGAGATCTGATGGGCATATGCGGCTTTGTCGTTGGCTTACAAATGCCCACATGAAAATGAGATTTGATGCTTTCAAATAACATAGAAAAAAAGTTGTTGACAAGTTCACACGTGCAAATCGCTGGTTGAGCGAAGCTGTTTCCTCCCACGCGGCTCACGTTTGATCCCCTAACCCCCAGCTGATGTCCAGTGTGAAGAGAAGGAGAAGGGTAGATGGCGACAAACTGTGGAGCGGTCGGGGAAGGCTTCACGATTTTGTGTCCTGAGGTCTTCATAGTTTGAATTCAAGCTCATTAACATAAAAGTTATAATTTGAGTTCAGGATCGTGATTCAATAAGCTCGACTCGTATTCTAATAAGTGAGTTGAGTTTGAACAGGCTCAACTCGCTCACTCCGTTAATTAAGGATTTGTTTCGGACGGCTTTCTTACTGCTTCTTAAAGCAATGTTATAGTAAAAAAAATTAATTTTTGTGCTATAACATTTTTTTAAGAAGCAACAAAAAAAGCCGCCTAAAACTATTGCTAGACCTAGTGGTACTGTATCTGCCTCTAAAATCTTGAAGATTGCTTTTTATTTGTTTCACGATAATTTTATTTTTGGTAGGTTGTGTGGGTATCATTTGGCTCAAGATTATGATAGAATTGTGATTTATAAAAGAAAATAATTATATTTTCAAAAAAAAAAGAGTAGTTAATTCATATGCTGAGTTAAGTTTTGTTTGGGACGATTTTTTAATTGATTTTTAAAACAGTTTATTAGTACAAAATTTTTTTAAATTAAAATATTTTGTACTAAAAAAGTGATTTAAAAAATAATAAGAAAGCGGGCCCAAACGAAGATAGTTATAAAGAAACACTTTATGCAAAATTTTTGAACATTTATTTCAACTTTAATAACATTCAAGCGAATTTTGAGTGAACCTTTCCACAAAAAGTAATCGATAAATGCTGAAAAACTTTTTGACATTAACTAAAATAGTCTTTTTGGGCTTATTTTTTTATTCTCTCTCATTTTAGTTTTTAAAAATAATTTAATTAAGATATTTTATTTTTTTAATTTTTTAAATAAGTTAGTTTTAAAAAATATTTAAAATTTTTAAATATTTTAAAAATAATTATCACCATCGATTACCACACCATTAAAAACAGCCATCACAATTGCATAAATAAATACTAATCTGAATATAATATAAATAGATATGGTCAAACTCAAGAAAAAAAATATTTTATGAATAAATTTCTATCTCTGGTAGAGAACGGTCAAGAAAATATATAAATATTGATATAAATAAATTTGGAGGATTTACATAAATATCCCATTAATTTCATATATTTACATATTCAACATTTAAATTTTAATATTTTTATAAAAAATTAAAAAAGAAATAATACCCCACCTCCTCTTAGCTTTCACACTCATAATTACTCTATCCTTTTTTATTTTTAATCTTCCAATTGCTTTCATGCAATGAATTTGCAAAGGTCAACTCTTGCTCTCTCTATCTCCCATTCCCAATCTTATCTCCTACCCATTAAAGTTCATTTTGGGATGGATTTTTTACTGTTTTTAAAGTAATTTTGGTACAAAAAGTATAAGTTTAAAAAAAAATTATACTAAAAATTTACTTTATAAAATACTAAAAAATACACTCCAAATGAAGAAGACTAAGGTTTTATTTAGGACAACTTTTTTTCTGTTTTTTAAAATCGCTTTCTAAAAAATATTTTATAAAGTAGCAAAAAATCTGTCTCAAAATAAGCCTAAGGTTTTGATTGGGACCATCTTGTCCATCTTGCTGCTCCATAAGTTTTTTTTTTTTGGGACATTTAGGCCATTTAAGGCAAACTCACACACACAATGCATACACAAAGACTCGAACACAAGACCTCTTAGTTGGAAGCCTAAGCTCTCAACCAACAGGCTAAGGTGAGCTGTGTGTCTGCTCCATAAGTTATTGTCCATCTTGCTTTTTCCTTTTTGCTTTGTAATAGATAGAATATTTGACTCGTAAATTTTGTTTCAAATAATGTAGTTTGTAGAGAGCTTTAGATCCTTTAAAGATTTATACTTCTTTTTATTATTAAACGCGTAGGCCATTTCATCAAAAAAAAAAAAATGAAATTCCAGTCAAGAAATAATGTTAGAGCAAAAACTTGCTGATGGAGGTGGGTAAGGCTCACTGAACAAAATAAAGGGGTGATTGGGCTTTGAAAGCTTTCCAAACATTTATAAGTAAAAAGGGGAAGGCAATGCATTGGAGAATTTGTTGATGCAACCGACAAATTCTATCCATCTCAGTAATAACTAAACTTTGGTTTGATTATCCATAAAAAAAAAATTATTGAAATTGGAATTATGATTACTTTGAGTTTCAATGGATTCAATGAAATCATTTAAAATTTTAGTGGTATTTTTATATTTTCTAGTAGTATTGGCAACTACAAAAAAGATATTTAGTGGTATTTTTATATTTTCAATATTTGACCCGATCCGAAAAACCCGACCCGAAAATTTCAGGTTCGGGTCAACCCGAACCCGAACCGGGTCGGGTTCGGGTTGACCCGGAAACCCGAAATCGACCCGGTTTGACCCGTTTTTAATTAATTTAAGAGAATTGTAAAGGATTTTTATGAAATAATTAAATGATATTTCAAAAAATGATAGACATTGTTGTCCAAATTAAATTAATCTTGATTTATTTTAAATTAATTGAAGTAAATCTTACTTTAATTTGATTTAGATTTAAATAAATCGAATTAAATAAAAAAATTAATAAAATATATCTAAAACGGGTAGGGTTCGGGTTGACCCAGACCCGAAGCGGGTCGGGTTTGGGTTCGGAAAACCGACCCGTTTGCAAAAACGGGTCGGGTTCGGGTCGGGTTGAACAATGTCTGGTCAATTTCGAGTTGGACTGGAACCCGACCCATGACCCGTTTTTGACAGCCCTATCACAACACCACTGATATAGTGTAAATATCATCATTAGCTGCTGCCTCAGCCATCGACACGACTATGCCGCTGCTCTACCCCAACTATCATAATTGTCACATAAATCGACTTATACTATATTTAATTAAAACCAAAATAGCTCGCATTTCCAATAACAAATACATTTGATTTTTATCAAAATATAAATAATAATATCATTATTAGTATATGAAAAAACCTTTCAAAATGAACTAATATTTTCTTCATTATGCCCTTCACCATTTCGTCAACTGCCATCCATCTAAAGGTACCTTTTTCAACACAAATCCACCCAAACAACAATAAAACCAGTTGCAAGTTGAGAGCCCTCCTCTCTCTCTCTCAGCTCCTTTTTATAATATTTCTCAAGTCCTCGCATAAAGATTTTATTTTTCTTCAAATTTAACCTTTTCAATGTGATTTGGTCAAACTTGAGCAGCTCCTGCCATTAAATACCTTCATCTTCTTCTTCTTGGCATCACTGACAACACCACCTTACTCTTTTCAGAATGAGGACTGTGTTATTGGATTATCTTCTTACATTGATTCTCTTCCACTCCCTACTTTGGCTTCTGCTTTTACCCAGCTCTTTGTCGTTCCCTTTGTGCACAAATTCTTGTGGGTTTCCTCCAGATTCGTCATCTTGTTCTTCTTCTTACTGCTATTTTCTTGAAGGATTTGGTTGATTTGTGAAACTTTCTCTTTTTTCTATGTGAGTAGGGGCACCTGTAACCCTAAAGACACCATTGACCTTCTGCTCTTATACGGGGAGCAGCTGCTGCAATGCCACTGACGACTCAGCGTTGCAGAAGCAGTTCAATTCCATGAATATCTCTGATTCAACTTGTGGATCTATAGTCAAGTCGATTCTCTGCACGGTAAAGAACATTTTTTGTTTTATTTTAGATTTCAGTTATTGCTTATTGAGTTGCTTAGATTGCAAATACAGGTTTCTGATATGGTTGAAGTGAAATTAATTTCTTTACTCTTCTTTCGGTTTTTTTTTTTTTTTTTTTTTTTTCAGTTTTTTTTTTTTTTGTATTATCAGATTTTTTAGTGCCTTTAGGTAAATAAAAATTTTTAAATTGTAGCAGAAGATTAGTGATTTTGGTTTGAATAGACTAAGCAGACCAAAAATCTGAAATGGTTAATTTATGTCTTTTATAGGAAATAGGAATTATATCATTGCAGTTTTAATGTTCGTGATATCCAAATTCCATATTCTAGGTTTGTGTGGATCAATTTTAAGGGGCTGTTTGGTAGCACCCAGGATTTTATTTAAACAACATTTTGTAAATATGCTAAATCAGGATTTCGGAAATCGGAGGGGCCTAAATCCTGAAAACTGTTTGATAACATTTATGATAAATCCCATTAAATCTCGTGTGATTGTTTGGCTATAGAACGAATTTAAAGAGCGGACCCTTCCTCTCCAGCCAACGGATTTCATAAATCCGGCAAAAACAAGGAGTTCGGAAATCCATATTTAGCACGAAAAGACGGAATTTTCCGTCTGTGGCGCTTTCGTTTGTCGTGAGATTTGGTTTTGCATTTTAGGCCGTTTGGTTGGATTTCACTCAAATCCGCCTCAAATCCAGCCTAAATCCTGCTACCAAACAGCCCCTAAAGGTTAACAGAGCGGATTTTGTTGATTATGAATTATTCTCATGCGCCAACCATGAAATATAACATAGGAAATCATTTATATGAGAAAATGTTTTCATCAGACTATGTACTGCTTTATGGAGAAAGATTGATTATTGTAGCTTATTAGGAAAATCACATAATTTTGTACGGAATCACCTAATCAAGTTCAGAGTTTAAATATGTAAAGGGCACGTCATGAATACTATATGTCTAGTGAATGATTTCGAAGTTATAAGACATGATCAATTTTTAAGTGGGGAAGATTGTATAATCCCTTTTAAGTACAATGAATCAAACCTTAAAGTTCAATACATTTGTTCATGTAATGATTGGAGTTTCAACAAAAATTGCATAGTTAAGTGTGTTCTTGCCTAAGCACTTGATCTTACTGGGGATCACACCAAAAAAGGATTAAATCCTAAAATCTATAAAACCAAAGTGGATAATATCTCGATAGATACAAATTTTAGCTATGCCACCTAATCATTATGGATGATTTAAGAAGGAAATTAAAAAATGTATTGCTATAGTTTATACCGTAAATTAAAAAAGAAGATTCCAGTGACATCTACTAGATATCTAACAATTCATTATACAAGACACCTGTAATCATCTATGATGAAGGAATATGAAAGTAAATTGATATATAAGAATGATAGAGTTTAACCGTGATAAAGAGAATAAACTGGCTCAATTCTTTGCTTATGTAAGCTGCCTCATTTGTAATGAAATGCAAAGCTATTAGTTCTTTTGCTCCATAGGGGTGAGGATGGAAAGCAGAAGCCCCCTTCATCCCATATGCATATATGGAATACAGTGATAAATACGTGCTCCTAGTAATTAGTTAATTTTCAGGCATCTGTCTTAGCAATTGATCGGTGCTTCCATCCCTTAAGTTCATTTTCTAGATCCATTAAGTTGTATTTCCTTCTTGGCAGTTTATCTGTTATATTCTTCATCTGCTATTCAGCCAGCAAGCTGAATCTTCCTGGCTATGCTGCTCCCTTTATGTTCCAAGAAATTGTTGGTTTGTAGCCCTTTTCCCTACAGGATTCTTCTGATCAAGGTTGCATTAATATTGATTACTGTACTGAGTAAAATCAACTTAGAGTGAAATTAAGCTGCCAACTTCTGTCTATTAAGCACGCTGAAGAATTTGTCTTTTGGTGTCATCATGGGAAATAGGGACCATGATTTTTGTTATGTCAGCATGGTGTACAATGAACAAGAAAGCATGGTTGTCTTAATTTCTTTATGCAAGCTAGATGACATAAATTCGGTTCATTATCCAGCATATTGTATACTTGCATTAAATAGCCTTGGCATCAGAAGCCAATGGAGATGAAGGATTTATAAAACGATTTCCAGCGGTAGATCGACTGGAAATCAGCCGAAAACTTGTAACCTAGACAAAAAAATTACTCATTCATGTTAATTCTCTTATAATAACCCACAAATAATGTAGCATTCATATAAATGAACTCAATCAATAAAATAGATAAATATAAATCCTAGAAGAACATTATTCTAAATTCATTAAACAATACTCAAGCGCTGCAGTGTACAAATGATAGTTAACATACATTAGTTCTTAAACATTACAGAAAACTAACAAAAAAATTACAAGCGTGCAGAATCTAATCCTCTTGCATCCCCTCACTCTCCTTGGTCCTTGTAGGCTGCTTTTAACAGAACTGCTCCCTAAATCTGTGCAGCTCATCCTGTATTTGGCCTTGCTGCATTTGTATACTAGCTTCCAATTTTCGCACTTACTCTAGTTCTGCTGTCAGGGAAGCCACCTTTTGCCTAACTAACTCTTCCTAGCTGCTACTTGAGAAATCTGATGTGCCAAACGACTGTCCCTCGAATGCATAGGCTTGAGAGTCTAATCCATAGGTTTGCGAGCTTAATCCTAACAACGATTGATAACTCGGAGTGAGTAATGCATCCATCTCAAATTAATTGTTGAGCAGCACGTAATAATTCATAAAAGTCTTGTGCTTCCCTATATGGTGAATCTTTCTTATATTTTCTAAATTGTGGGTTAATTGCATCATAAGCCATATATGCATACATCTTAATATTTTCTTCCTCAACTATCTTGGAACTTATTGATAAACCACATTGAGAGTCGAAATGTGGCTCATACTCATCATGTGAAGTCCAAAATCAATATTCTGACATAAATTCTCTACGGTATAAGTTAATAGTAACCTTATCTGGTGTAAGATACGGTTGATTTTTATGCTTTGAGTAAGGATAACAAAACTTTCTGTAAGATAAAAAAGAAGATAGTTGACAGGTCACTTGGATGAAAAAATTGACTCCCTTGATGAATTCATCTATCAATGTCTTTCGTCTAGGCAATAATCAGTTATACTTTCAATTCCTTTGACTTCGAATATTCATATAGAATGTGATCTAGAAAATCCTACATGCGAATAATCCTTTAAAAATTAGTAGGAAGACAAAGACAACTTAAAACTAGGAACATGAGAATATATAGAGCTAATAATGTGATTGTATGCAATCATGAGTTTTCCTATAGATTCTAGAAAAATACTCTTTTTGTTTCAATTTTATTCTCTTTAGAAATAATAGTGGCATGGAATTTTCTATGTGAAGGTTAGTAAGATAAGTTCAAATGTATGCTATCAAATGAATGCTCAGGGTCCAATCCAAAACCACTACTTGGCAACTCCTCTTATGCATATTCGGTAATGTCAAAAATTAACCAAAAATAGTAGCAATAAGGAATCAATAAAAACAAAAAGCTTAAACCAAAAGTAATCAGATTCCAACACACACAAAAAAAAAGGTAAACAATTCAACTTCTAAGAACTCAATTCATCAAATTAAAAGTAGCTAATCAAAATTTTTTCAAACCAGAAGCATATTCAAAGAAAACAAGTTTTCCAAACACAAAAATAATTTAGTTACCAAACATAGTTCACGCAAAAATCTCACAATACAATATCATAAGTAGCAAACCATTAAGGAATGTCCAGAACCCACATGCAAGAATAAGCAGAACAACTACTCTCCAACAGTTTAATCCGGAAATTATCCATTAAAACATGATTCAGACATTGGATTCCTAATGGCTTAGTAAACAACACATTTGTATAGAGGCAATAAGTGCAAAGAGAAGTGGAGGCTTACAGCAAGTGGATGGGATGTCGTTAGGTAGAAATAAGGCATATGCCAGCTGAATGCTGGCTCCACATCCCTACTGGATGATGACTAATGCATTCTGCATATCTATCTGCACAAATGAAAGACAAGGATTAATAATAAGTATCTGATACATTACCCTGCACTTTTAAAATATAGAGACTACACAAAACAAAATAACAAAGCAGATAATTTAGATAAGTTTTAAATCCTACTTAGTGAATTTTTAGTGAATTTGTTGAATGATCATTTTAGGATATTTAAAATTTTAATTTGTTAAATGATCATTTTGAAGAGTTTAGAATTTTAGCCCATATTATTTTGTTGCTACTATAAAACTTATACGACTAGCCGAAGATGGAAAGAAACCATCTCCGGTGGAGTCACCAGAAATCTATTGGCTCCAAAAATTCGTTCCCCGGCCTATCCAGTTTCAGGAGAGTTTTAACAAATTAAGTTTTGAGGTAAATTTTCAGAAGGCAGATTGGGTTTGAAATAAGACACTACCCAGAGATTTCGCTATTATTTTGTGAGGATTTTATGATTTGAGTTCAGGTTTTTTATATGCGCAAGCCCCTATAGTTAATTATCCTTCCCGATAATGAGAGAGAACTTTAGATTAAGACTAGTCGTCAAACAGATAAGTAGAGATATGTCGTATTTGATGTATAGTAGTAACATGATTTGGTTTTTTAGACTTAATATTTAAAATTGAAAATTTCACCATCTTACACATAAAGCAGATGGTGGGGAGAATAATGATGAACTCGATTAAGATCTCATGGCTCCATCGTCTCGGGTCATCATAATCCCTGATCCATATAGTCAGAGGAGGACAGAATGATCCTTGTCGACAGCCATGGGTTGCTTCGTCCAAGAATACCTTATAGACCCGGGGTGAATATTTATCTGAGGGGACACATTTGAGTCCACCTTAACTAATAGAGGGCTTTGTGCCCTATCGATTATATCATATCTATTTATATCTTAAGGATTTAAAATCATTGGGGAACATAACGGCTATAACCATAACTGTAATATAGTGGGATCGTTTGACCAAGCCACTAGGTCTGAGGGTCGCAATTATAATCATTAATCACATGGAACCTTTTGGCCACACCACGGGTTATTTGTGGAGCCATCTAGCCAAACCACCGATTAGAAGACAAGTGTTACAGTTTTATTGGCAGGGGATGGATTGAGAATGAATTCTAGTAATATTCTCGACTGAACATTGGCTCTTTGTGAACTGAAGTAGTTTTTAAATTTGGCTACCTCTACAAACTATTATGGAGGGCGGATAGCTTGGATGATTTTTGAAATTTTTTAATTTTTGTGAGCATTTAAAAGTTTTAAAGGCATTTTGAATATTTGGAATTAACCCCTCCGGTTGAGATATACGTTCAACACGGCCATCATCGGGTTATTATTGGACAATTTACATTTTATCAGTTAAACCTCGTCGATTCTGTCTACCTGTCGACAAATGATCGGGTTTATTATCGGCTATGTGCTTTTATTAATGAATTTTTTTTATTGTAAACCTTGAAAGACTTATATGAATGTATTAAAAAATATATATCGGTCGACGACGTGACTATATATTTGTTTGATACTTCGAACCGTGTCAACTCCTTTCTACTCACATAAAAGGATCAGGCTTGAACTTAAATTTATCATTTGACCCGCGTAGCATTCTCGGACGTCATATGTGTACCCATAACACATTTGTTGGGGCCCATGCGGATATTTAGGGGCTATTTTGTAATTATTTGTTGAGACTTGTCGACTCTGTCTAATTGCTAACAGAGGATTGGGTTCGTAGTAGGCTTTGTAACTTTGTCAATGAATTTGCTTTGTAATAGGCCTTGAAGGCCTAATATGAACGTATAAAATAAAATCTCGGTCGACACCGTGACTATATATTTTTTTGATAGTTTGAGCTGTGTCGACTTCTATCTATTCGATAGGAGGATTGGGTATGAACTTAAATTTATCATTTGACATGCGCAGCATCCTCAGACGTCATATGTTTACTCATAACACGCTCGTTAGGATCCATGCGGGTATATGATTTTGTATGCAATTTATATGTTGTAGTTATATGATTGTCATACATATATAGCGGATATGTATATCATATATGCATATGTATATACACATTTGCATGAGTGCTCGCATGTTCACATAATAAGCTGTGCATGTTGTAATGCATGTGGGAGGACATTTTAAAATATTTGGCATCGATCAGCCATGCAAGTGATGACATTTGAGTGTGCGTAGCATTCTGTTTGGAAGCTTGCAGACGTCTTCTATCTACTTGTATGAGTGTTGCATATCAGGTGGCGTGGCGTCGCACTATGGTTATTTGCTTGTTGCTTGATACAGGTAGGTAGACTGTCGTGCACTAACGAGACTCTTGCAGTTGCTTATAGATGTTGATATATGTTGCAATTATTTTGTATTTACTCGTATATAACACTTTGCGTATGTGATAGGTCTCCTACGGCGGTTCGTAGGTATTTACATTTGCTACATATTGTCCTCCCCTGTTTGCAATGGATTGACGTATTTGTTGGCCATTGAATTGCGGTTGATTTTAGGGGTGTTGTAGTATTCACCGCCTTTTGCTGCGACAACTTGTGGGTGCTTTGTATGTGTTGCAAACATGTTCCCTTTGACCGCAGACGATACATTGTTCGTATATTTGTCCATAGAGAGCCAGCCATCCTTGCAATATGTTTGTTGTTGCTAGCTATAGAAGCATCCTGACATTTATTGCATATCGTTCGTCGTCACATGTAGGTAGATTAACGCACTGGTGAAGTTTTTTTGTTATCATACATCGTTTGGGCAATGTCATACGTCAAATTCAGATGTCGGTCGTCCCTTTTGACTTATCTTGTCTGATTTGACTGCGAGGGTTTTTCTTTTAGGCGAATTTGTCGTCTTAATTGCAACGACGCAGTCTGTTTAGCAATCAGAGGTCATTTGACCCTTCAAATGACGTGTCACGTTCATGCACATGTTGCTTAAATCGCTGTATTGTCCTCTTTCCCCGAGTTTCGATAGTAGGGGTCAACAAACTTTTCTTTTAATGATTGGCTATTCAAAAAAAATTTGTGGTCAAAGGTACAAAATTATTGATAAATTTAAATTAATTTAGTTGATAAAAATTTGAAAAATTATTATCAATATCATGAAATTAAATTTATATTTTAACATTCCTTAAAAAAAAACAGGGCTAAATTATATATATATATAACAAAAAAAAATTTAATAAATCTTTTTTTAAAACTGTCTAAAGCACAAATAAAAAAAAATTGAGGGAATATTTAAAAAACCTAATTTGTGCTCACACTAAAAAAAGTCCGGCTCCGTTGGATTTTGAAGGAAACAATGATTTAACATATGATGAGACAACAGCTAACATACTACATTCGTTTTAAGTGATATTGTGTATCTGTACAAAATCTATTAGAGTTTTGGACCTTCTGGATTTTATGCTTGTGCAGTAAATGTAGCAAATTAGTGCTAAACCGTCATCTGTAGTTCTTTGACAATCTTATTTTCACCGATTCACCAATCAATGAGTTATTCATCCAATGGACTTATTGCAGTTTATTAATCATCTAACTATGCATCTGTTCCATGATCCCTGCAGAAATGTAATCCATATTCAGCAGATCTCTTCACCGTTGAACCAAACATTGGAATGGTTCCTGTTTTGTGCAACTCAACAACTTATGTTAGCTCTTCTCAGTCCAGCAAAGTTGCTTCCGGAGATTTCTGCGTACAGGTCTGGGATTCTTGCAAAGATGTACCCATACGGAACTCTCCATTTGCTGCCTCTTTACAGGGCGCTTCTGGACAGTCAGTTTCATCTTCCAGACTTTCAGATCTTTGGCAATCTGAAACTGACTTCTGCAAAGCATTTGGAGGGTCAGCCAGTAGTGAGTCGGTTTGTTTCAATGGGCAATCTGCTTCATTTAATAGTTCAGTGGACTCTGCACCCAAAGGTATCTGCCTAGAGAAGCTTGGAAATGGATCATACCTTAGTATGGTGCCTCACCCAGATGGCTCAAATCGTGTCTTCTTGTCAGATCAAGCGGGTAAGATTTGGCTAGCGACAGTTCCAGCACAAGGATCAGGAGGGACATTGGATTTTAATGAGTCAAGTACTTTTCTTGATATAACTGACATGGTTCATTATGATACTGCATTCGGAGTGATGGGTTTGGCATTTCATCCAAATTTCACAAGTAATGGGCGCTTCTTTGTTTCATATAATTGTGATAAGACACAAACGGCGAGTTGTTCTGGAAGGTGTTCATGTAACTCTGATGTGGATTGTGACCCTTCAAAGCTTGGTTTGAACAATGGCGTTCAACCTTGCAGATATCAAAGTGTTGTTTCAGAGTTCACTGTCAATGGCTCCTCAACAACGCCTTCAGAGGTGACATTCACAACCTTATTTAGCCATTGTTGTAATATTGGATCTAATATTATTAAATTTGAAGTTAATCTTATTTGAAGGTCTTTCCACTGGATTTCCACATGCTTTCTTTTTTTTCATTTGTAGGCAACATCTGCTTCCCCTTCTGAAGTAAGAAGGATTTTCACCATGGGGCTTCCATATACAGAACATCATGGAGGGCAAATTCTTTTTGGACCTGAAGATGGTTATTTATACTTTATGATGGGAGATGGTGGGAATGATGGAGATCCATTCAATTTTGCACAGAATAAAAAATCCTTGCTGGGTAAAATTATGCGACTTGATGTGAATAACATACCAAGTGAGTATTGAAGGACAAAATTCACCTATAGTTTTTGTTCCTTTTTTATCTCTATTTTTAATGCATAAATGCCTGAATATGTTTGATTCTTGATTATTTGAAAATAGATTGCCTTCTGTTCTCTACAATTGTTGCAACCTCTAACAAGAGTTCTGAGCTACTGTCTTCTTAAATTTGAATGATACTCTTTATTTTTTTTTTTAGTTTATAACCGCTGTTGTTTGTTGTTGCTGGTGTTTTACTCCTCTGTATTGTTTCTTGATGAATGAGATTAGCTGCAATTTTATTAACTAGCTTAATCTTCATGCTGACCTAAAGATTTAGACTTTGTTTGGTGCGGCTCTCTTAATGCTTTCTAAAACAGCTTTTTAGTACAAAAGTTTCTAGTTCAAGAAATTTTTGTACTAGAAAACTACTTTAGAAAACAGTAAAAAAGTCGTCCCAAACGAAACCTTAATGAATATGAAATTCAAATAGCGATGATAAAGGAAGGCGTCCACAATTTTGCAATAACTACCGCGATACATCTTCACGTTATGTTTGGAAAAATAGAGATAAGAAACTAGGGACACTATATTGTAACTTTTAATTAAAAAACATTTGCTGATATTAATTTCCAAAACTTTTGCGCTTCTTTTATTGTGAATGATCAGCATTATGTGTTGATATTTTATTAATTGTGGATGAATGGTAAGAAAATTGATTTAATCCAATTGATAGGACTAATCTCTCTCTCTCTCTCTCTCTCTCTCTCTCTATATATATATATATATATATATATATAATGTGCATGTATTGTTTGTGCTGATTTCTGATTTTCATGAGGTGCATATTTCAAGTTCATGGCTTTTGATGGGTTCAATTAAAATTATTTTTAGAAACTATTTCCATCTTTCTTCTGTTCTTGAATTGGGCCGTTAAAAATTATATGCATTGATTAGATTGATTGTGTTCTCTTTTTTTTATCATTTAAAGCTTATATCCTATGTGCTTCTATATGCATGCTTGGTGAATTATTTTATTTGTGATTTCAAAATTTTTAATGTAGGTGTCAAAACTTTTTTAACAGATGAAGAATAATTTCTTTGGTATTGCTGAGAATGAGTGACAATGCCTGTTATATGTTTCTATTTTCCATTATCTGAGTATTGTTTTTAACCAAGCTATTTATACTTGTAGGTTCAAGTGAGATAAATGATCTTGGTCTTTGGGGAAACTATTCAATTCCAAAAGACAACCCTTCTGCCGATGACAGTCAATTGCAGGATGAGATTTGGGCCTTGGGTCTTAGAAATCCATGGCGCTGCAGTTTCGACTCGAAACGGCCATCTTACTTCTTTTGCGCGGATGTTGGGCAGGTCAAAGAATTTTATATTTGTGTTTATTTTTGGAGAAATTTTGGGTTAGAACATTTTGACTCTCAAATTTAGTTAGGATGGTCTTTCAATAATATCAATTTTATTTTGAGATGAGTGCAATATAAAAGTTGAATAATCGGCCATATATTGCACTCATCTCATAGTATATCCAACGACTATAAAATTCATCCTAATTAATTTGGGTTAGGCCAAATGAAATTTCTAGTCATTGGATTTATTTTTTTGAGATGAGGGCAATACATGAGTGTTGATTGATTTGTCATGTATTACACACAACTCAAAGTAAAGGATAGCTTTTGTAGCCGCTGTATTTACTTTGAGATTAGTGTAATACGATAGTTGATTGATAAATCATGTGTTACACTTATCTAAAAGAAAATTGATTAGTTAATCTATTCCAACCAAATTTGAGTTTAGAGTAGGAGAAAATTTAGATTAGGATATCATGACCCAATTTGGTCATGATGATTTTCTAACATTTGGATTTACTTTAAGATCGGTGTAATATAAAAGTTGATTGATTAGTTGTATATTACACTTATCTATATATAAATAATAATTGATTAATTAGTTCGTATTTCACCATCTCGAAGTAGATTTAATTTTAGAAAATCTATCATGATCAAATTTGGATCAAACTACCATGACCCAAACTTTATCCTTTATTATTTGATATGGATTAAGGATTTTTACATGAATTTCTTGAAAGTGATATATCATTATATTATACACTAAAATAAATTAAAATTACTGCTTTTAAATGATGATTTGATAGCATATACACATTTGATGCTTGCTAGGAAGGATTTCTAACAACATCATCCATTCACAACAACAAATTGTAAAGTTTTCTAACCATTATATCAGAAATGGGAGTTCAAAGCATTTCAAGATGCATTTGATTTCCAGAATTGATCTTTCTTCATTATAAAGATTGCACAAACCAAAACTTTTTAAAGTGATCAATCTGCTCAGGAGTCATATTGCATTATTGCTGCTGTTCCTCATCACCTTTTAATTTCTAAGGTTTCGTTTGGGACGGCTTTCTTACTGTTTTGTAAAGCTGCTTTTTATTTCAAAAAACTCTTAAAAGCAGGAAAAAATAGTGGTCTAAAGCTGTCCCAAACGACGCCTAAGTCAAAAGAGTTTACTAACTTCCCGTCAATAATCTCTTTTCCAAATATAATCATTGTCCATGATTTATGCTTGATTATGACTTTTTCTTAACATTATTCTATTTCCAGCAAGGAAAGTTCCCTTAATAATCCAATAACCATAACTTTTTCTTTCAATAATATGTTTTTTCTCTAACATCTATAGGAAACATATGAGGAAGTCGATTTGATCTCGAAGGGAGGCAATTATGGATGGCGCATTTACGAGGGTTCTTACCCTTACCATCCCAAGTGGACTCCAGGAGGAAACACCTCTCTAAACTCTATAAATCCAATTTTTCCAGTCATGGGATATAATCATTCCTCTGTGAATACAAATGTCGGATCTGCTTCAATTTCTGGTGGTTATGTCTATAGAGCGAAAGCTGATCCATGCTTGTATGGAAGGTTAGTAACCTTAAACCCACTGATTAAACTGAGATGTTGTGCTCATCACTATGATTTGTTGATTAAATTTTTCATTGAGAAATTTACTCCAGATGAATGAAGAATGAGGATTCAACATGAATGAAGAATGTAGAAAAATACTACATTGTTTCTTTGGATAGAAGTTAATGGAGTGAAGCTTTCCATGAGAGTATTTTGAACATTTTTGGGTCAATTATATAAAAAATAATAAAAAATGCCCTTAGGAAAGCTTCCCTTCTCCAATTTTTGTTCAAAGAAACTATAAAATTAACAACACAAATACAACAACAACAACAACATCAACATAGTGTTATGTTGCCAGGTCCCAAGTCCTGGATGAGAAAAGTGGAGGGTTGCGTTAGGTAGTCGATAGCCAGCGTAAAACTTGTCGAATAATCATGATATGAATCCTTTAAAAAATTATAAAATTAACAGTATAATCAAATTTATTATGATTTGGTTAGTTGAGGGACTAAGGCTTCGTTTAGGACGGTTTTCTTAGGGCTTCTTAAAGCAGCTTTATTATACAAAAATTTTATTTTTGTACTAGAAATTTGCTTTAAGAAGCAGTAAAAAAGCCGTCCCAAATGAAGTCTAAATTTAACACTTGAAAATGTCGGGATTAAAATAGACATGCCTAAAAACTTTAGGGCCTATTTTAGCTATTTTCTTATAATGAGGATGTTGATGTTGATGATTATGATAAATCTATTTTCTTCATGCTTGTCTTCAGGTACTTGTATGCAGACCTCTATGGTTTAGGAATGTGGGGAGGCATTGAGAACCCAGAGAACAGTGGAAACTACAGCAGTACAGAGTTGCCATTTAACTGTGCCAAAGAAACTCCAATTGCTTGTGATCCCGTTGAAGGCAGTCACCTCCCATCTCTTGGCATCGTCTACTCCTTTGCCGAGGATAACAACAAGGATGTTTATCTTTTAGCCAGCAAAGGAGTTTACAGGATAGTAAGGCCAAGCCTTTGCAATTATACTTGCCCACAGGAAAGCCATATAGATAATGGAAGTCCACCTCCAGGTTCTTCTTCTTCTACTGCTCATTTTGAAAACCTTCAACTGAAGCTGATACTTCTTCTCATAAGCTTAATAATTTTGTTGAGTTCTTATTAGCTAGTAAAATGTGTGATGTTTTTTTTATTTTATTTTTAAATCATGGTAGAGTAGAGATGTCATTGCAAGGGTATGCTTTTGTATAATTATATCAGCTAGGAATTTTGCTCTATATGCATGTATGTGTGATTCAAATTTGTCTTTTAAGATTTTGGAATGGAGATATTGTGTTCATGTAAATATTGTCTGGTCTATTGAACTTTTGTTTTGTTAAAGGAGCCAATTGTTAAATAACTTACTGGGCAGGTCAAGCTTTAACCAAACTTAAATAACATGAAAAAGTTAATTGATGTGGATATGCTGCTGTATGTAGTTTTTTCTTTTTTTTGGTAGAAACTCACAAAGATGCTTACGTGTTCCATCAAAAAAGCATTACAGATCCTTTAAGAACCAAAAACTCTCTAAAATACAATCTTTGAAGAAAAAACTATGAGCTGATGATCCTAACTAATACAAAAGATAAGACAACAATAAAGAAATGCCAAAAAGATCCAAAGAAAGTCATCCAGGAAGACGAAACAGCAGCAACCACAGCAACAAAACCATTGAATCAACCTGCAAAAAAGATCCAAACAGAAACAAGCACAAAAATAGTCTATTCAAGAAGCCCATCAATCCAAAATGCCGACATGAAAGAACCACCACACAACAACTCACAGAATCAACAGCTTTAATGAGCCCACACCAACAAGACCACCTACCAAAGAAACATCCAAACAATGCAGCCAACAATGATAAAAGGATCTAAGCAAATCTAACTATTTTTTAGATTTCCACTTGCGACGTTTACTAACATGTGAGAAATCATTTAGCATGACACAGAACGAAACAGTTGTTTTATGTAATCTGATAATTTGTCTGACTTTGGTTTCATTTAGGATAATTTTTTTGTTGTTTTTTTTATTGTTAAATTTTTATACTAAAAAATTGTTGAAGAAAGCAATAAGAAAATTGTCCCAAATAAAGCCTTAGGCTGAAGTTGTTGTCTTTGGTGGAGTTGGGTGACCCACTTGACCCATAACCAGGTCTATGTAGGTCTCTTCTCTCAAAAAATTAAAGTTTTTTTTTTTTTATAATAATCATTAATGATGAGAACTCTAACTTTTGCCTACATTAGCTGGAGAGATTATTAGGTGCGGAGTGCGGACGGAGAGAACCGTCCGCACAAAAGTATAGGGTACCCAGCTAGGTACCACTCGGTACCGTTGGGTACCGCTTGGTACCATGTATCTGTACGGACGGTCCTCACTCCGCACCTTATAATTTTTCCATTAGCTGACATGACATGGCCTATGTAAGCCTTATGCTCCTTAAGATAGACTTTTGCTGTGTTGTGTTGTACAGTGTTGTGCTATAAGTCAAATGGATGATTATATGATAAAATCATGCTAAGATTAGTATTTCAAGAATTATAGATTCTTGACAAATTGAATAAATATTATTATCAATTATATAATTATTATGTAGAATATTAATATTAATTAGTATATAATTAATTATTTATATTAGGGGCTAATGTGTTATAACCTAGAATTTCTAGTTGTACTCTCTCTCTTACTGGTTTGTTTTTACAAACTGCAACTAAAATTTTATGATAGAAAGCTCCTTTTTATAGCAGCTTTCAAAAAATATTTTCTTCACAACAATTTTATAATTACTTTTATAAATCATTGCAACTGTCTCAAATAGATCTTTAGTCATAATACATAATTGAAAATTCTATTTGGTTTATAAGATGTGTGAGATCCCTTCACTTGAGGAAGAAGCACTTCCTCATGGATCTTGAAAGAGGAGGAGGAGGGAGAGAGGAGAGGGAGGAGACGTGAGCCAAAAAGAACTTGTTTGATCTTCTTGCAAGATCAAGAGAGTTCTTCCTCACTAGTTTTCTACAAGATGTTTATTATGAGAACATTTATAATGCATATCTTCATGCATTTCTATCATAGATAAATGTAGCTAACTAGCACAAATTTTAATGTAGAAACTAATGGAAAAGAATTAGTCAAAAGAACATTTATAAGAAATTTCTTATGACTTTGTTTGGTAATGAATTGAAAGAGATGGAATAAAAGAGGAATGGAAATGAAAATGTCAAAGGAATAGAATTGAAATTAATTTTCAACTATTGTTGGTTAAAGTGAAAATTAGTGAAAAAAATGTATATTTTGTTTGGGTTATAAGAAAGTTTTTTATTTTTTATGATTTGCGACATGTGGAAGAAAATTGTTTTGTTTGCAAGTGAGCACACTTGCGAAAGGTATTGATGGTGGGACCAACACATGTGAAGGAGAAAAGAAGTTTGCCCGATTGGCATGATCGAACCAAGTTCGAACAAAAGTCTGAATTAGATTCAAACTAACTCAAATACATTTCAAAGGACTTTGACTTTAATAGCAGTTCATAAAAACAAGTGGTTAACCTTTTTTAGGGGTAATTTTGTTGGAAAGAAAATTTTAAATATATTTATCTAAGAAAATAAACATTCAGAATATTTGCCTGATTATGTATATTATTATATGGATATTCAAATTTTTCTAATTTATATTAAGAGGTTATTAAATACATGAGAGATATGCACACCTCATAATTTATGGTTTTTTGAACTTACGGATATTATTAGGTAAGTTAGGCTCAATAAAAAAAAAAAAAAAAAAAAAAAAAAAAAAAAAAAAAAAAAGGTAAGTTAGGCTCAATATTTTCTCAAAGAATATATTATTATTTGATTAAGTAATATTCATTAAATATGATAATAACATTATAAAAACTATAATTTTTGTAAAAAAAATTAACAGAACTCATCCAAAAATCTTTTCTATCACCTCAGCGCAATGGAAAAAATTACAAACATACTAAAAAATAATATTTTTATGATATTCAACTTATCCATTTTTTAAGTCATATTATAAAATTGAATGCTCATAATATATTTAAAGTTTAATTATATTATTTATTAATAAAATAGTATTTATCTTTTAAATTTAATAATTTAATTATATCAAAGAATAATTTAAAACGTTAACTTTTGATATGGTGGAGGCAATCTCATTAGAGACCTCTCTCCATTTCTCTGAGCTTTAATTAAATATTTTATGTATATTAATATATCACCAAAAATCACATAGATTTGGCATGAATCTCGAGGCATATTAGAACTGAAAACCGTTAAAATTCAATTTACAATCATTCGAACACCGATCTCAACAAACTTATGTTAGGATTTAAAGGAGATAGAAAAATAATTTCATCATCTCAGAAAGATATGTTAAATCATCAAGAAGAATTATCTGAAGTGTACCTGAATCTATTGAAATATAGAATCAAGATCTTTGATCTTCCACGTTTGAAGAGGCGTTCTCCAAGAGCGAGAGACCCCTTTTTTTCACTCAAGATGGGAAATAACGGAAATGTGAACTTCACCGCTTAAACTATGGATCATAACTCATTTATACTTATAGTGTATTTATTTTTATTTCAGTCTATCATTAAAAATAAAATAAATACTTGACCTCTTGGATAGCATATAATGTATAAAACTTTACTTATATGTATGAATATATGGGCTCATATATAGAAATTTCCCAACAACTTATAGTCAAACTGAATGTTTAGACAAGACAAACCCGATTACCCCAAAATCGGTCCAGTCCGAGTTCAAATGGGCTTGAATCAAAGGATTGAAGCTTATTTGAAAGCTTAAAAACATTAATTTGATGACAAATTATTATTATCCAAATATGACATGCTTATAGTTGAATATAGTGGCTCGATGAGACGAATCCAACAAGCCCAAGATCACTTAACTCTGACATCATTAAGAAATTTAAATGCTTGATGAAAACTCTTTGATCAAATGAATCAGTATGAGCCATCTGATAGAACACTCCAAATTTACTTTGGAACATCTCCATATTTACTAAGCATGCTACTAAAAAAAAACTATAAGTAGGCCTCATTCTTCATATAAGGGAAAGATAAAAAAAAAGAGAAGAAGGAAAAGCTTTATAACATTTTCCAGTCATCGTCATTGCCGACGACCATTAGCTATTGTTGCCAACAACTACCAGCTATTGCCGCCGATAACCACCAATTTCTTCCACCGACAAGCACCATCATCTCCATAATATTATTAAGATTTTTTTTTTTTTTGGGACAGTTAGGGGATTCGAGACAGGGTGAGATGAGAGGAATTTCTTCCGTCGACCACTCGGCCGCTGACGCAATCTCATATTATTAAGATTTGACGATGTTGTTGGGTACATTTGTCTGCTTCTGAACATTTACTTTCTAAAATTCCTCCTCGGAAGATTAAGCCCTATTGTTGGGTGTAAATATTCGATCTTTGTACTTCCTCTTCTTCAGCAATGAAAAATGGAAGATCTTTTCATCGCTTACTACGTAGTGGATTTTGCAATTGGGCTATTGGGTGTAAATATTCGATCTTTGTACTTCCTCTTCTTCAGCAATGAAAAATGGAAGATCTTTTCATCGCTTACTACGTAGTGGATTTTGCAATTGGGCTAGGACCTCTAATTTTTTCCCTTTCTAAGTTTACTATGTAAAAAGTTCTCTAGTCTTATTATTTTTATATATTAATGTTGAATATTTGTATATCACTAAGACGTGAAACATATATTCTACCGACTTAAATTTTCAAACATGCAACATATATAATTCTCCATCAACGTAAAAGAAGAATAATAATAATAATTAATAATTTAATAAAAATGAATGTATCATAAACTTTCTTTTATTATTTAACATTTTTTATCTCATAAAAAAATTTTGGTCTCTTAAAAACAAACTTACCTATTCAATGTTGGCAACTCATCACGACAATAAATAAAATAATTGAAAATTTCTATATTATTTTTTAATATTTCCCTGAATTTAAAAAAAGAAAAAAAATAAACAAATCCTTAGACTTCGTTTGTGACCGCTTTCTTATTATTTCTAAATCTGATTTTTAGTACAATTTTTTTTTAATTAAAATATTTTGTACTTAAAAAGTTGTTTTAAAAATAGTGAAAAAGCTATCCCAAATGGGAAAACTTATTTTGTGCGTACTCCAGACAGTGTCCAGAGACCAACTAGAACACGTCACGTCACTTTTTTGCTCGATACCGGATGACGCGGCACATTTTGGTTGGTCTCCAGACCATCCGATGTGCTCAGAGAATAATTTTTCCTCAAATGTAATTTTAATGTTCATTTCATG